CCCCAAAACCCCAAAACCCCAAAACCCCGTCATTAAAAAATAGAGTGAATTTCGTAATATTGAAATATTTAATAGATTATTTTGAGGTTTTATAATTAATAGAATATTTCGTCGGAGGATTTAAAGTATAATGAATAAAGATCACAATTCAATAAGTTACAGTAGTATAGCTGATATAGTAGACGATGAAGCTAATGATATAGAAAAGAACAATGGTGACTTGGATAAATATCGAAATTATAAAAAAACTAGCCTCATCTAGAGGCTAAGACAGAATGATATCCATCAATTGCAAAGATAAAGATAAAATCTAAACTTAGATCAAGTGGCAAATTTTGATTTTGGAATGTAATTATCAATTAAAAGAAAAGCATTCACTACTGATGATATTGAAGCTAGATATATGCTTAATGAAACATAGCCGTATATAGAATTGAAATCAAAAAAGAGAAGGAATTCTACCAAAATTCTTAATATCACAGAGTTAAATTAAGCTGAGTTAGATGAATTAAGGTTAAATGTTCCATTAAGCTTCGAAAAGTTTCAATACAAACTCTAACTCAGGAAATATATATTTGAAGTTAAGATTAAGAAAGATATTATCAGACTCAATTAAAATGATCATAATATTCCTCCAATTAGAATCAGAGATGTATTGATAACAATTCCTAAAGAGCCCTCTCCTGATCCGTTTTATTGCTCAGTATGCTACGAGGAATTTAGTGAGAGAAAGTAGGGTGTAACTTTAACTTGCAATCATTATTTCTGCAAGTAATGTATTGTGATTTTCTTGGAATCTTAAATAATGAACAATCAATCTGAAAATTTGATATGCCTTCAAGCAGGCTGCAATAAAAGTATTAGCAAAAATATGATAAAATCTTTAATAAGTGAGGAGATATTCAAGAAATACATAGAATTCATAAGTAATAAGGAGCTAATGAATAGAAACGATAAAAAGTTTTGTCCGATAAATGATTGTGGTAATATTTTAGAAGGATCCAAGAAAACTAAGAAAATTACATGCTCAAAATGTGCAAAAACAGTTTGTTATCAATGCTAAACAGAATGGCACAAAGGAATATCATGCAAAACCAACAAAGAAGAAATCTATCGCAAGTGGGGACTATAAACATAAGCTTAAAAATGTCCTAAATGCAATACTTTTATTGAAAAAAACCATGGATGTAATCATATGACTTGCTAAAGATGCTTTCACTATTTTTGCTGGGTTTGTGGACTCCATCCATCCCATAAAATCCATTACAATGATCCATTTAGGTTTTTAGGATGTAGAGATTCATAAATACCTCCTTATCATAATTGGGCTTATGGTCTTCCTAAATTTATTTTGCTACTCTTATTAATTCCTTTGATCATCTATTTTTACTACCTTTATCGATTTACTGCAAAGTTAATCTAATGGTCCTCAAAGTGCCTTCGCTGTATTAGACATAGAAGCGGCCCATGCTGTTCTAAAACTTTGAAATGCTTTTTCAAAGCACTAATATACTTCATTATATTTTGCATTGTATTTCCTGTAAGTGCGATTATTGCTGTTGGACTCTTGATATATTAATTACCTAAAAATTGGTATATCCATGTAAGAATGTATGTTAGAATCATCAAAAGATGGAATAGTAGTAGATTTTCACAATGAAATAACTAGATTAAATATATTTATTTTATCCTTATTAATTCTGATATCATTCTCAATAAATTCCTTTAGTGGGGTTTTGGGGTTTTGGGG